AAACAGCCGTCTGTTGTCTCACATACCCGTCCTCACATACCCGTCCTTACTCCAAGGCACACATAACATTACAACTTCCTATGTGGACTTATTTGAGGTCAACATGGAAAATAAGGGCTAAAACCTAGTCACAAGGTCCATGAATGAGCTAGGAGGCAGACGGCGGGAACAACCAGGTAGGGAGGTGTAGTATTAAAGCTGTTTTTCAGTATCTCCTAAGAGGTTACTTTGGCTCCCCACACACACACCTACAAACAAATACATATGGAAAGACTTTACTGTTACGTGTTGCTGTGCAAGTAAGAAAATAGAAATTACATGTTGAACTTCTACTTCAAAGTTTAACTACTTGGCTGCCATGGACAATTCATAGGCTCAAGAGATACATGCAAATATCTTGTTTGAACATTGTTCCTTGACCAGAGTGTGATTATATGGACATATATGCTTCTGTATTAATTTACACATCAATGTAAGTTTTGGGGTTTCCCCCATTTTTTAGGGACCAGAGTGGTTAAAAGCATTTGCTCCTCTTACAAAGGACCCAAATTCAGTTTCCAGAACCCACATCTGGTGGTTCACAAGTACTATACATCTTCTGGCCTCCAAGGGCACTTACACAGCACATTTGAGAGCACACACACCCTTACAAACACATGGTATAAACACACACACACACACACACACACACACACACCCTCACCCACACCCACACCCACACACAGTGGACTAATAAAAAGAAATCCAGAAACTATACAGAAAGCACAAAACCTCCTACAAATGAGAAGCTGAGAACAAAAAACTATCCAGACAATCTCTTTCCTGGTTGCCCGTTTCACATAATTTCCTCATTCTCTCACAATTGTAGGGAAAAAGGGCCAGCCAAAGAAACACACCCTGAACAGAGCCAAAGAAACACACTTTGTCCCTAGAATCAGAGCCAGTGAAAGAAATACACCCTGGCCCTAAAATTAGAGCCAAAAGGCTAAAAAGGACCAGTGAAACAAACACACTTTGGCCCTGAAACCAGAGCCAAATCTGACCCTAAACTTGTGCAGAAAACTAACCAATCCTTGAGCAGGAGATCTAGCCATCCTAAACTCAGGGATTGAAATCTGACCAATCCCCACCCTGGAAAAACTCTAGGCCCCGAAAGAATCCCTATATAAACACTGTGCCCGTTCAGCTTCTGGCTGTTCAGGCTGCCCGGCTGTGCTCTGCCACCCTGGCAGAGAGAGGGCAGCCACTCTCCTGGATTCTTCCCTCCCAATAAATCTCCTGAATGAAGTTTGGGTGAGACTTTCTTTTGCAGTGGAGGAGAGATGACCCTGAGAAGAGCAGAGCGGAGTAGAGCAGCGGGGTAGAGCAGCCCTATAATACTTTCTCAGGGGAAACATTCCCCTGGAGGAGAGGGGGGCAGAGCCGAATGTAACAACTTTGCTGGGGAAACCCTCTCCTGCTGGAGCAGAGCTGATACCCTGGGGGAAGCCTTCCCTGAAGCAAGGCTATAAGCTGCTATGCTTACTGTGACCTGTGCTATTCCTTGGCTCCCAACCTCCAGGATACCTTTTCCATCAGAGAGCTGTGTAACACTCAGTATTCTGTGACTCCTGAGTACCAGAATACCTGTCCCATCTGCTCTGCCCAAACACTTACAACAATGTCTATACAAAGTGCCCATCACTTAGCCTTTAGCTATCAAAACACTAGCAGTATCAGATCTGTCCAGTATCACAGACGTTCTCACTTATAGCAAAATGTCTCTATTACACTGACAAAAAAGTATTAGTGGTTTCCAATTATCCCAAAAGGTAGAGATATGGTTCTGAAATTCCACAAATCAGTTATGTTACACAACTTTATAATGTATTCTGTAAATAAATGACAGCCTACTTACCAGATAAAAAGACTTCCATGAAATGGCCCTGGAACTTTAATCACTGCTTATATACTCAATAGAAAACTATGTTCAGTTTCTAAAATATCCCCCTGAAATGTAATTATTTTAAATTTGAGTCTTTTTATTCCTGAGTACCCCAATCAAGAACATTTAATAAATGGTAGAGGTAAGAACTTGTAACATGGTAAAGAAATGCAGATATCTAAAAATGGACAAGTAAGCTTTATAAGGCTACTCAAAACATAAAATAGATTAATTGTTGTAAAAACTTACTACACATATTACTTTATTTCATGTTTTATAACTTAAAATGCCAAAAGATAAGAAAATAAGTTGACTATTACTTTTAAAGGGAGTACTTGCTGCCACTGTGCAAAATGAATACTTCATAAAAAACCTATGTGCTCAATTGTAGCTCCATTTATAGACTGCTATTAATAGAACTAAAGTTTTTTGGTTGAGTCTAAGACATAATATAATCTATGTATAAAAATACATATAAAATGATCCATTTTTAAAAACTGCTGCTCAAGTTTCTGTCTCATATCACTGGAATCCTTAATTTTGGGACTTTTAAGATCAAAGTAAAAGCTCAATCACATAGATTTTTCTAAACTCTAAACATACAATTATGTTTCTCTTGAATGTCTTTAAGATGGGGTTTCAGTTGGGGGGGGGCATGGAGAAACTTACTACTGACTACATACTTCTTCATTGTTTGCTATTATTTCCATTATATGCACCTTTAGCTACTAAATGAAAACAACTGGAATGGTACGGATTTGGAGGGCTTAACAAAAAAAGACACATTAATAAAAATGCCTCAGGCTGGGGCTGCAGAGATGGCTTAGAGGTTAAGAGCAGTGGCTGCTCTTCCAGAGGACATGGGTTCAATTCCCAGAAACCATATGATGGCTCACAACCATCTGCAATGTGATCTGATGCCTTCTTCTGGCATGCAGGGATACACGCAGGCAGAACTCTGTATACCTAATAAATAAATCAACCTTTAAAAAAGAAAATGCCTCAGGACAAAAACAAACAAACAACAAAAACCTCAAAATATTGTCACAAATAATGTAAGAAAATAAAGGGTTTTGTTTGTTTTACTATAATCACCCCTCCCACCCTGAAATCATAAGCTAGGCAGAAAGAATTAAGCAACAAAAACTCTGGAGTGGGTATTGAAGAAATTACAATTATTCTCTTTTGTAAGTGAATGTATGTCTTACATGCAGAGGACAGAGGATAACCTCAGTCATCCATCCTCATCATGTACCTTGAGGCAGGAGCTCTGGTTATTTTCCATTGTGTATGCCAGGCTAGCTGGCCCAGAAGCTTTTGGGATTTCTTAGGCGCCCAGAGGTTACACACACTTATGCTTTACAAGTTCTAAGGATTCAAACCCAGGTCCTTACATTTGCACAGCAATTACTTTCACCCACTGAGCCATATCTTAGTCCCATCTTCGTTTTCTAATACATCTTAAACCAACCACTCAGATCCTTCTCGGGTTGGTTTTCTCTCAAATATCTTTATGCAATGGTTCTCAACCAACAGTACCAGCAAACGTGTTAAAACTGAAAACTAGACAGGCATGGTGGCACAGACCTTTAATCTACAGTCTGCCTCAAAACAAAAACAAAATAACATCTGAAAACCAACAGGCCTGTTTCACACCTACCCACTCTGTGAGACTAGGGTGGTAGAAATGGGGCAGGGATATGACTGCTAGGTGGATCTGAGATTCAGAAGCCACAAAAGGCATTGTACAATATAGAACCTTCCTTGTTTACTTCTTTTTCAAAATTATGACCTAAGTGCTTGTGTTTTTGGTAGCAAGTGTTTACTTTCAATGTGTTAGATAATAAAACATGAACTGCCATTACCAGATAAACCTTGAGCCTGAACACCTACTTGCCAGGTATTTACACATGGGCATCAAATACACATGAATCTCAAATTCTATCAATTCAAAAATGAACCATCTTGACCCAGTCATCTCCCCCTTATTCCAGACTGTAGTACAGAATTAATTGCCTATGGCAAAAGCAGAACATTTTTATTTCTCCTTTACCTGCCACACCTCAATCAATCACCTTTGACTTCCAGAGTAACTCTTGACATCCACCCTGCCCGCCATTACTCTGGCACAGTCCTCCTGCATCTCCACCTGGGTTAAAGGTTCTACTTCTTAACCAGATAATTTTGTTCCTTACATAAAAAGTGATCATTTTCTACAACAGGTTGAATTCCATAGTATCTCTCCCCTGCTTAAATTCCTCAAGGGCTCCCCATGAAGCATGAAATTATAATAGCCTTCATCCATTCATCCTCTCCTGCTTCAATCTCTTACTACCTAAGCAACTCTAAATATACTGAATTTTAGGTCCTGGAAAATTCTTGCTTGTTAATCTTTCTAACATGGTAACCTTTCTGACAGCTCTCTTCACTGAATTAATCTCTATGTTTCACGATAAAGTGTTTTTGTTGCCGGTGTTGCTTAGTTTTGGTTTTGACACATGGCCTTACTATGTAATCCTGGCTAGCCGAGAATTCACAGAAACCTGCTGCCTCTGCTGCTTGAGCAAGGAGAGGTATGTGTTACTATGCCCAGAATGATAGTTTTAATATTGCTTATTTTTTCATAAAGCTATGCTTCATCACCACATATACCCAAAAGTGCTTCCAAGAACAGCACTTAGCATACTGCATGGTAATCATGCATTTTCTTCTAGATTCAAGTTCTACCAAGAATAGGAATCACATCTAATTCTCCAAAATTAAAATCCTAGTGCCTAGGCAGCAACAAAGCATAAAATTAAAAGCTTCAGCCCAAGTCAAACAGATTTACAATATGTTGTAAGTCATGAGAATCCTGGAAAATTAAATTCTCTATCCCTGTTGTTCCTTATGTGTAATAAAGATAGTACAACCTTACAAGATTTTAGAAATAAACATTATTTGTGACATATGACGTATTTAACAAGATGTTCAGTAACCAGAAAGTTTGCTACTTATCCTGTTACAGTATCAAAGAAAATATATGCAGAATAAATGCACTTTATTCAAGTTACTAATAAACATTTTAACAATCCTAACATCACATAATTTATTATGTTTCCAAGTAAAGTATATAATTCTGTAAGAAGGATTAAATTTTATGCCCACATGGCACTACAGGGTTTTTTTATAGTCAATATTTAGTTGAGTCTGAGTCATAAAGCAGAATGTTCAAAGAGAATGACCTGTGCCTCGTTTTCAGGAACAATTTGTTTATGAAGTCCAATCTCTTGCAAGCCAGGACTTTCCAAAGAATGTGGGGAGGTATTACAAATTGAGGCAGTTACATTATACCTTGCTGACTGATAAAAGCTGTAATACTCAAGTCTATTTTCCACTGAGTTTTCTAGTGCCTTTAATTTTTGTTTAAACTGAATAACTTTGTAGATCAAAAAAATGATTACGACACAAGCTAAGATGAAAAAAGCTAGCAAAATGTCGAATGCCTCATTCAACTTCTCAGCTTCTTGGGTACAAATTAGAGATGTTTTTCCTGACACAGAAGAGGCATCAGTTGGTAGAGCACTGTTTTTTTCCGAGTTCAAGTTAACAGGAGTAAGCTGTATTTGCACAGGTAAAAGTGTGGTCGTCTCTAATGCATTACCAAGTGTATTCTCTTGAAAAAACCTACTGGCAGATGAAGTACGAATCCGCTCCCAGACGGTAATGCTCTCAGTCACAGTGTTTTCCAAATGTTTCCCACTTGTGGTTACTTTATGCCAGGCCATCATTAGTGCAGTGGTCTCGTGATGAATATGAAGAGATTTTACAGCCCAAGTTCTGGATATATTTGTCGAAGGTAAAATGCAATTTGTAATGTTGGTCCATTTAATATACCATAATGCTGTGCCACACATAGATAGGGGGTTCTGACAATAGATGCTCACAGCAATGGCTGAAGAGGCTAGCCAGTCCTGAAGACCCAAAAGTTTGCATTCACATAATTGGAATTTCCCTGAAGATGAGTCAATGAAGATAATGGCTTAGGGACCCTTGGATGTAATTCTGTAAGATTATTAAATGACAAATTAAGGATCTTCAAAGATACTCCCATATTTTAAATGTATCATTATGAATGTTCAGATTACTGTTTCTAACTTAAGGTAAATTCCTTAACAAGCTAAATGTTTAAAATTTCTAAATAATTACCAATTAAGATCAAATGTTTAGAACTATTAATTTTAAGAAATATCCCTAGTAACATTATAATCTTACATACTTTAAGAGGATACTTTGCATCAATAACTTTTAAATACAAAGGGCTGTCATGTTTCAAAAGATCGACCAAGGTAAAGACAATCTCAAAATTTGTAAGTATATTTAATGGTACTTTCGTTAAATTATTACTTTCTAGATAAAAAATAATCAAGGGAAACAAGATGCTGAAACTCTAAGATCTATATCCTTAAATTTTTATCTTTCAATAAATCAAGAATCTGTGAATAACTATACCACTGCAGAGCACATTGAGGCAAGTCCTTCACAGATGCAGACACTGAGCTAAATCCAGATCGCTAAACAATCTTCTTAGAACAAAAGACACACAATCAAACAGTAAATACAAATCATGAAGATATGGCAGTCCCTTAAATATTTCTCTCTAAGCATTTTATAAAAAACTGTTTAGAAATAGAAAATAAATGACCTAACTGAACGGAGTCTTTTAGATATTCATACACAATACTACTTATCCAAATATAATGCTGCAAAAGAATTAAGTACTATTAGTTCACTTTCACTTACATGAGGCGTTATTCCCAATCAGTTACAGAAAAACTGTACTTTTAGGGAAATTCTAAGGAGTATGAAAGGCCCATGTAAGTCTGTCTCCCAGGAAGAGCTGGTAAGGAAACAAATATCCTAGTATTCCTTTAGACAATAACAACACAAAAAAGCAGGTAACAACCATTAATAAATATAGACAAGACAGAGAAAATGATAATCCACATGTAACCCAATCTAATCTTTTTTCATATCAAAATTGACTCCAAAAACAAAACTTTAAATTATCAGAAAGGTCTTAAAACTAAAGTCTCAAAATACTAAAACTTCAATAATCTATTTAAACTAGGATTAGCTAAACACATGTGTTAGCTCATATTATGAGAGAAAGTATTCTACAATGAACATTTGGAACACAATTGCTAACACTGCAATGAAACCCACTCTTTAGCAAAGATAATTCAAACTCCATAAACTGAAAAATGTTTGCTAAAATAAACTATTACAACAAACAGCAAAAGATGGGAGGCTCACAATTTTTGAACACATGCCCCACAATGTACGTAAAACCTAACATCAAATAGCAATTTATGAAAATATGAACAGAATAGAAAAATTAAGCTGTAGTTTTTCAAAAATGAATTCATCTCAGCTAAAAGTCTGTACTTAAATAATCTTACCAAGAAAAAGAAAACCATATCCCCACTTGGCTTACTTAAGCAAAGACTTTTGTTTTAACCCTGATGAGCGCCGTTCCTTAACTCACTTTCTTTCTGGGCCACTGCTGACCTCCAACATGCAACCTCTTTTGAATTTTAAAGTCACAGCTTACTCAGGAAACTCCACTCTTCACACTGGTTCCTCTACAGTCAATGTGTAAAAAGGGGTTGCCATGGATACAGGAAACTGAGAGACAGGAAGTAAGTTTATCTGTGCTTCAAAAGTATTGTTGAAAGGAAATCTCAGGAACGTATTTTTTTTTCAGAACACATTCAGTTCCCCTAATATATATGCCTAAGTAGTTCCTACAACTTGAAAGAGGTTTTTAAAGCCAGACGCTTGAAAAGTTGAGGTATTCAAAATCTAAATAAGAAGTCTTTAGTTATCAACAACACATTGTGTATGTGTTTGCTCATGCATGCATGCACCTCTACAGAAGTTGACACCAGTGCCCTACTCTGTTATATCCAACTTACTTTTTAAACCAGGTTCTCATACTAAGCCTGGAGCTCATTGAATGAGCTCCAGAGAAAGTCTCCACTTCCCAGAGATAGAATTACAGGCCTGCACCACCAAACCTGGATTTTTAAGATGAGTATTAGGGATCTGAACTCAGGGTCTCCTCCTTGCAAGACAAGCAAGCACATTACTGACAGAGATGTCCCATGTCAACAACACAATTATTAACTAGAAAAATCATACTAAAATAAAAGCATATAAAATAATACAATTTTTAAGAATTTGTTTGTCTACATCTTTCTTTTGTTTGTTTTACTGTTTGTTTTTGGACAGGGTCTCACTATGTAGCCTGGGCCAGCCTCTCTATGTAGACCAGGCTTGCCTTGAATTCAGAGAGCTGCCTGCCTCTGCTTCCTGAGTCTGAGATTAAAGACACGGATCACCACGTCAAGACATAAACATCAAGAATGTTTAAATGTATTAACATTTTTGCTTTTAAATGCTTATTGAAGATTTATTCATTTAAAAACAGTACATAAAATCAACCAATAATTTAGAATAATGAAGTACTAATACATTATCCTCTGAGATTTTCTGTTTAAATTTTTAACAACATTTTTGTGTGCAAAAATATTGATTACTATCAATTAGTACCTGAAGACATTTAGGAATGTCCCTGGGTTGGAGGATAATATAAAGTTCCTTACGGAATTATTAAAATAAATTATCTCTGCATAAAGATTAGGGAGCACAGAGGGAGGTGAGGAAGCAGCTAAAGTGCTCATCGTGCAAGCTTGAGGACCTGAGCTGGGATCACTAGCAGCCATGTGAAAAAAGCTGAGTGTGGCTGCACATAGGAAGGCAGAGACAGGAGGGAGCTTGCTGGCCAGCCATCAGACTCAAATCAGTCATCTACAAGCTTAGTGAGAGGTCCTACCTTGAAAATATAAGTGGAGAGAGAATGAAGAAGTTCCAAAGTTGAACTCTGACTTTCGTACACATGTGTACATATGTGCACATGTACCCACACACATGTATACAGGTACACACACACACACCCAGTTGGGGAAGAGTAAAGAAGGTCCTGAATTACGTTTCACTCTATATAAATGTCAGAATTAGTTTAAATACTTTAACATAAAAAGAAATCTGAATCTAGTAATTTTTTTTTTAATTTAAATAGTGTTTTAGGAGCCAGCCAGACAACACAGACATAAAAGCATTTGGCATATGAGCCTGGTGACCTGGGTTGGATCCCAGAATCCATGTAAAAAAGACAGATGCAGTGGTATGCATCTGCAATCTCAGCACTTCTACAGTGAGATGGGAGATGGAAACTAGACAATCATCTAGAAGCTTTCAAACCAGCTAACTTGGAGTATACAGCATGGCAGGGAAAAAAAAAAAAAAAAAAAAAAAAAAAACCCCCCCCAAAAAAGGAAAAAAAAAAAAAAAAAAAAAAAAAAAACCCTGCCTCAACAAGGTGAAAGGAAAGAACCAACTCTCAAAAAACTGTCTTGTGACCTCAATATATATGCTATATATAATCATACACTTGCCCCCTCACACAGTAAATAAAATATTTATTGAGTTGGATAAAATTGTTTAGCCATTGATTTCTGACTTATATCAATAGGTTTTTTTAAAATATTTTCAGTAACATACAAAGTGGCAGGAGCACTATACACATTATACACACTATACACAATATTTGCAATTAAATCATACAAATCAAACAGGAAAGACTTAAAGGACAAGTCTATTAAATTCAAAATAAAGGAGAGGAAACACAATATGAGAACCACATTAGTTTCTCTCCCCTCCATCACCTTTCCAATCATTGCTTTCTCTTTACTGACTTAACTACGAATTTCAGAGGTGGAGAGTGTCACTTGTTAAGCCAATTCTCTTTCAGTAACTATAAATAACCTTTATGAAATTACATAAGACTTGAATTCTACCAAAAGAAACTTGTTCTTAAATAGTGCAGTATTATAATTTAATTTTTCCAAATAGCAACATGTCCTTTATAATATTCCTTAAAATACAATCCTTAAGTAGAAAATTTAAACAAAATGCCCACATAAAGAAAACAACTGTCTGTGTCTGCACAAACTGATTTAAGTTCAGCTAGAACAGAAAAGCCAACAGACTAGCAGGGAGACGACAGAGCAGGTAGAGGCTTTCACCACTGAATGTTACTGAAAGTGTAACATTCAGTTCACAGGACCCATATTGTAGATAGAGAGAACCAATTTCCAAGCTGTCTTCTCACATCTTACACACCTGCCATGGCATAGACAATAGCACAAAAAATAAATTTAATTTGTTAAAAGCCTAATAGAATACATAGTGCCTTTATAAATGCCAAATCCAACATTACTATTTGTCTACACAAGCAGAGTATTTAAATGTCCCTTTGAAAATGACATCACCATGCAGCAGAAAGAATTTGATAATACAGAAATATTACGCACTCACTTATTTAAAAATAAGTTTCTTTTGGTAGAATATTTTCAAAAATGAGTCTTAAATGTAGTATTTTCCATTCCAAAACATAAATATAGCAGCATAAACTGTAGCATTAACGAAAACAAGAAATTTCCACTAGCTCCTTAATATGAGTTGATAACACAATTTACATATGGGAAGGATGCACCAAATAGATGAATTATTTCAACAGCAACATCAATGCTTTAAAAGATGCATTATTCTTAGCCTGACTTTACAGTTAACTCTTTATAGTCACACAGCGATAGGAGATCTGAACCTAGGCATCGGGATTTATAAACACCAACGTATATATGCTTACAAATGATTTTCTTGGCATTCAAAATATTCAATCTGTAAACAACAATCAATCAAAAATAAATCAGAAGCCTTTGTATCAGGCAAGCTCCACAGGGGAGGAACAGCCCTACAGAACCACGCTTCCACCACCACATGTACGATGCACATACACACATGCAGGGCAGAACAC